ACTACTACTACTACTACTACTACTACTACTACTACTACTACTACTACTACTACTACTACTACTACTACTACTACTACTTTATAGGGCTATGTGGGCTATATGGGTTATTGGGCTATTGGACTATGGGGCTATAGGGCTACAGAGCTATGCGGCTATAGGGCTATAGGGCTTTAGGGCTATTGGGCCATAGAGCTAAAGGGCTAAAGGGCTATAGGGATATGGCGAGTAATGCCACCCCTGCGCGCGGCCGGCAAGCGCGCTCACCACCCGCGACGGGAGAGAACCCGCGCGGCCTCGCCCTACAAGAGGGCGCCTGGGCGCCTGGCCGCCGCAAGCATGAGCAACCGAGGCGCAGCGAGGCCCTGGGCGGGAGCAGGGCGAGCTCTTCAGCTGGAGTTCCTCCTCCTCCAGATCCTGCTCCTCCTCCTCCTCCTCCTCCTCCTCCTCCAAATGATCCTCCTCCACTTCCAGTTCCTCCTCCTCCAACTTCTCCTCCTCCTCCTCCTCTTCCTCCTCCTCCTTCTCCTCCTCCTCCTCCCTCTCCTCCCTCCCTCCCTCCCTCCACCTCTCCTTATCCCTCCTCCTCCTCCTCCACCTCCTCCCCTCTCTCCTCCTCCTGCTCCACCTCCTCCTTTCCTCCTCCTCCTCCCCCTCCACCTCCTCCTCCCCCTAATTCCACCGCTCCTCCTCCTCCTTCCCCACCTCCTGCTCCTCCTGCTCCTCCTACCTCCTCTCCCTCCTCCTCCTCCTCCTCCCACCTCCTCCCCTCCACCTGGTCCTCCTCCAGTTCCTCCTGCTTTTCCTGCCCCCACCCGCTCCTGCTGCTCCTCCTCCTGCTCCTCCTGGCTCCTCCTGTCCTCCTGCTCTCCTGCCCCTCCTCCTCCTCCTCCTCCTCCTCCTCCTCCTCCTCTCTCCTCCTCTCCTCCTCCTCCTCCTCCTCCTCTCCCTCCTCCTCCTCTGTTCTTCCCTTTCCACCTCCTCGCTCCATTCCCCCCCCTCCTCCTCCTCTTCCTCCTCCTCTTCCACTTCCACCTCCTCCTCCCGTTCCACCTCCTCCTCCTCCACCTCCACGTCCGCCGCCTCCTCTTCATTGTACGAGGACTACGACTACGACGACGGCTACGACTACGACTACGACTACAACTACGACTACGAATACGATTACTACGATTACGGCTACGACTACTTCTACGACTACGACTACTAGTACTATCACTACTACTACTACTACTACTACTACTACTACTACTACTACTACTACTACTACTACTACTACTACTACTACTACTACGTACTACTACTACTACTACTACTACTACTACTACTACTACTACTACTACTACGACTACTACTACTACTACTACTACTACTACTACTACGATTCTTCCACGACGACCTTACTACTACTACTACACTACTACTACAACTACTACTACTACTAACTGCAACAACTTAAACAACAACACTACTAACTACTATTTCTACTACTACTCTACTACTAACTACTACTACTGCTACTACTAACTACTACGTACTAACTACTACTGCTACTACGACTAACGACTACGAGACAACGACTCGACTACCTAGACTAACGACTCACGAACTACACTACTACACTAACTACTATACTACTACATCGGCTGGCGGCTTGCTTGCTGCTGCTGCTACTACTACTACTACTACTACTACTACTACTACTACTACTATACTACTACTACTACTACTACTACTACTACTACTACTACTACTACTACTACTACTACTACTACTACTACTACTACTACTACTACTACTTCTACTACAGCAACTACGACAATTACGACAACTACAACTACTACTACGACTACGACGACTACAACTACTACTACTACTACTACGACGACGACGACGACGACGACGACGACGACGACGACGACGACTACTCTTACGACTACTACTACTACTGCCACTACTACTAGTACTACCACTACTACCACTACTACTACTACTACTACTACTACTACTACTACTACTACTACTACTACTACTACTACTACTAC